CCCCAAAACCCCAAAACCCCAAAACCCCATTATTACAAAAATTGTAAAAATAACAAAAGTAACAGAAATATTTAAATAAAAAAAGTATGCTAATTATCTATCCATCACTATTATGCATTTTATTAATTTTATTATTTATCGCTGCCTTCTTCGACAACAACTTAATCTGGTACTGCTTCTTCTTAAGTAGAGCTTTATTACTACGTGAAATAGTCTTGTAAACCATAGAACTCTGCATCTACCTTTCCTTCTAAACTCTTTATTGCATCTTTTAATTGCTTCTAAATTAGACTATCAAATGATGACATTTATGCATTGATTTGATCGAATAATTCCTTCTTGATGAACTCACTATTCTCAATCTTAGTAACTTAGCTGTCTGAGCCTACCTCCATAATGATATCAGCAGAAGTTAAATAACCCTTAATTTTAAGATTATATAGTGCTTGGTTAAGTTTAATCTGAGCATTTTTTATTTGTCTTTTCTCAACTTAGGCATTGAGATGCTTGTACAATCCATGATCGATATGACTCTCGAAGTCCTAGCTCTCATATACCTTGATCAAGTGATCCTCGGAGAGAGTACTATAGTCTAGAGTGAGCAAGTATGCATCAACCACAGTAATAATGTCCTTATTTTCAAAAGCCATCTCAATCACTTTACTAGAGAAGTTAGTTGGTCTTACCAAGTAAAAATTGCTCTTGACTGCATCGTAGAAATCTTTTAAGTTGCTATAGCCCTTAGAAGCAAAGAAATCAAAGTATTTCTATGTGAGAGCAGGCTGTGGGTGATATAAAAGTTCAGTGTGAAGTCTTAATGTCTCTATCATAGTCTCAGGATGACCTAGTTCTAAGGCCTTAGAGAGCATTTCATCAACATAACTGTGTGGAAGAGAGTTTCTGTGGCCAATATAGTTGGCATGGGCATACACGAGTGTCTTGAGATCAGCTTCACTTTTTGCCTTCCTAACCATTGACTTGAAATTTTCACGGGGAAGATTAATATAGCCACTTTCATTAGCAGGTCTTCTTTGCATTAGGTCCTCGAAGTACGCAGCTAATTCCAACTTGTTGATCTTATCGATATCTTCCTCCCTGAATCTTGGGGGATCTCTTATTCCTCTAGCTTGCACAAATAGTAACTAAGAGGTGAGTTTGAAAGTTCTCTAGTGGAATTGTTGTGTCTTTGACAATAAGTTTCTAAGCAGCATTTTATTAATGATTATATTTATTGTTATAATTTCATTAATTGCAAATGACAGCTTTAGGGGTTTTGGGGTTTTGGGGTTTTGGGG